CCCAAAACTCCCAAATAAGTCTGAGAAATTTTTACATGATGTTGAACAAAACTCCAGGGGCTATCCTTATGATATGTATGCATGATTTAAATGTTCCCTAACACTCTCCATCCTTCTTCAAATCTTCAGAGCGAAAGAAAATGAGATTGTGTACCTTATTCTCTTAGCATAAGCAAAAAAATCTAGAGGAATACTGATTATGTGGTAGAGTGGGAGAAAAAGCCCTATATGACTTGTTGGCAAGCACACAGCAAACATAGGTGGTTCAAATAGAAACAGAAGGAAGAGTCCCTGTGCTAATGGTGAAGTGGAAAAACCAAGCGCAAATAAAATATAAAGAGCTTATCTGGGACAGTGACAACTGATTATGTCAGTACAGAAAAAAGTGGAGAGACTCAAATCTGGAAGAGGTAGCTTTGAGAATACAGGAATTCACCCTTTACCAAAGGATAAATTAATTAGCTACGTTATTAGGGAGTTAAAAATAAAACTAAACAAAACTAAAGAAAACTAACAAATACTTGGGAAGGAGAAGGAAATTACCATGCATTAGTTACTAGATAAAAATGTGATTAAAGGTTAATTTATGTCTCTTCTAGGATAATGCAGACAAGAATGAATGTTGAATATAAAGGCAGACAGGATGAGGAGGAAAGAGAAGGGCACAGGAGGGGGAGATGGATATCCAATTGTACCGTTATAAGATGTGGAAGGATCCTGGATCAAAGAGGAATTACCCTAAGTCCTCCTCTGATTCTTGTAGGAGCACAGCACAAATACTGGTCTGCTAGTCTTTATTCATGCAATCAAATACTGATTTGACTACTGATTTGCTGACGTTAGGGTTCTAGTCAAGTGATTCATTGATATTACAGTCCAAAATTATAACAATCTCTGCATGGCTGCTGGTTTCACAATCAGCTTACAATTGCAGACTGTTTCTGGACCCTTTCAATTTCTATCTTCCATCACTCCTTGAAACAGCTGAGTACAAGATATATAATCAACTCAGAAATGCAGTTTTAGTTTACTCAAAATTCACAGATAGATGGGAATCAGACTTATTCAGTATTTTCTGACAATACATTAGAATATTTCAGCTTGGTATGCAAAATCAAGATGATACAACTTTCTTTAATGCATTTTGGCATTGTGGTAAAAAATAAATAAATTAATAACATCAGGTTGAGTAGGATTCAGCAGGATTCAACCTTCTCTCCCTTTGTGATTCATAGCAAGGTCTGACTCAATCAACCACCTAATCACTGCGTGAATCTGTGTACCTGTCCTGTGTAAGTAGTTCTCATTTAGTATAAAATAAATAACTAGTTGCCAGAAGTGAATTAGAATATCTTGTCTGCCAGGCCATTTCCTTAATCAAGCACTTCTTTTATGAAGTCAAGCTAAAAGAGTTGAGGTTATTTGATAAGAAGAGGCTTCCAGGAAGACCTCACTAAGGCCTTGAAGAACTTGAAGAGAGCCTACCAAAAGGATGGAGAGGGATTTTTTTTTAGGGAATGTAGTGATAGAAAAATGGGTAACAGTTTTAAATGAAAAAAATGTAGATTCAGATTTGATATAAGGAAAAAATTCTTCACTTTGAGGATGTGGCACTGGAACAGATTACCCAGAGAGGCTGTTGATGTCCCATCCCTGAAAGTGTTCAAGGTCATATTCAATGACATCTTAAGCAAATTGATCAAATGACAGTGAAACTGGAACTAGATAATCTTTAAGGTTCCTTCCAACTCACATCATTCTATGACTCTATGAATTCATGCTATGATTCTACCTTTAGCAATGGAACATGCACAGTAATGCAGAAAGTCAGTATGCTAATGAGGAGTTGGACAAGACATATGTAAAACACATTTGAAAATAAATTTCTATGAATAAAATCTTTGAAATACACCTTTCCTTCTACTTATTAAGAAAATATCAATTTTGAAGTGTCTCAGTTCTCTGAAATGTGGGCCAATAGATACCTGCAGGTCAAACAACTCTGACAGAAATGTATAATATGCAGAGGTTTCCCCTTTGTTACACAGCATCTCCTCATTGCTGTGAGACATGCAAGGTGGGAGTTCCCTACTGAATATGTTCAAAAGCATAGGTTCTAAATAAAAAATTCTATGTTCAGCAGGATAGTCAGTGAGTGGTGTTTCATCACTTGAAGCTGATATCCCACCTGAACTTGCCTGTCTCCTTAAAGGACCCTTGATGAGATGAAGGTATTCCACGATACGGGTTTGTTTTTTTTTTTTTTGGTAAGCTTATAATGTATTTTTTATCACTGTATCTACCTGCAAGTGTTAATAATAAATGTTCTCTCACTTCTGCTGTGAAATCTTTTCAGCTTACCTGAGTTCAGAAAATATATGCAAACTTCATCCTGTGATAATGAATATCATCTCATTTGATAAAGTAATCCAGAGCATGACATCTTTGGTATAAGCCCTTTGGGAAATTTCAGTCCTGATTATGAGATGTAAAAAGATTTACATAGTAGCAGTTAGTGTTAATGGACATTTTGTTCCCTTTTTAAGTCTGCATGTAGACTTTCTGTCGTTGTTGACCTATGATGAAGGCATCACTTCCCACTGTTAACATTAAGGGTTCTCTAGGTCTTGGCTTGAACATGAGACCTACATAGACCTCAGTGAAAACGCTTATTTTTCAACTGATTTATGAGGTTTATTCCAAAAGCAGTGCCCTCCTATTTTATTATGTTGGCTCAAGATGTTGGCCCAGAAGCAGATATTGTTGGTATGGCAGTAGAGGTTGAGCCTTCCCACCAATATTCTGTTGAATTTTGTTGCCACATGGCAGATGGCAGCAGAAGGTCAGTTGGACAAATGGTCAGTTTGGCATATGAATAGGAGTGAGTACGAAGCAAAGGTGTGTCACCGAATACCTCCACGAGAAAAAAATTGCACCCATTGACATCCATAAGTGCTTGCTGAATGTTCCTGGAGATCAATCAGTAGATGTGAGCACAATGAGATGGTGGGTAGAGTGTTTCAGAAGTGTTAACGGTGGCAGTGGATCACCTCCACTGGCATAAATTTTGATGAGAGCTGCTTGCAGGGTCTGGTTCATTACTGCAAAAATGTATAACTAATGGTCTTGACTACGTTGAAGAACAGTGTTTTGTGGCTGAGAATTTATTCTATCAAATAGTGTCATTGTGCAATTCATATCTGTCATAGTTTCCATGGAAATAAATAGGAGACATGACTTTCAGAGCAACCAACATAAAACTCTGCACAAGTATCCTTTTAGCTGTTTTAGAAAAGTGAATGACTCAATTTTTCCTGGCAGGTAGTTACTCTAAATCGTTGCAATGTTTTCAAAAAGCAAAATAAAAAATTACAATAACTATATTAAATTAAAATTAATACTTTTTTTCTTTTTTTTTCTTTTTTTTTCTTTTTTTTTCTTTCTTTTTTTTTCCTAGCTCTAACTATCTGTGTGCCACACGTGAATTTCAGGCATGCCACACATCATCTCACATACTGTTTAACCAACTGAACTGTCTAAGTAAATCACCACTGATCAGAAACTTCTTTTTTTACTACTCTGATTAAGAAGTAGTCCTTACTTTATGAGAATATAAATGTCTGCAACAGATCGAGAAAAAGATAATGTTTCAGATCACAGCGTGCTTTGGTTAAGCTTGTTCCAATACAGTGGAGTTTCCATACTGATGTTTCAGCCTGTAATCCTGCAAACATGCTAAATATTACATTCAATAATATGACATGACATATAACATGAACCTCCAATTCTCTTCTGTTTGTTGAGAATCTGTTATGATTCAGTATTTGGGACATTTGATGTAATGGAAGGAAAAGTTTTTAAATCCCATTAATGTGCAAAGCTTGGTCTCCCTTGATTTTTTTTTTTCTTTTTTCATAGCAATGACTGGACAAAGATGTCATTGCTACAGTGCATGGATAAGATGCAACCTCAAGGCTACTCTCTTCAAAGAAGATGCAGTCCATGATCATGAAAACTGTCTGATGCATGTGAGACTTATGTGTTTTTTTGAAACCCTGTACAAGATGAAGGCATACAATGAGACAGAAAATGACTAAGATCCCTGACAGCAAAGGAAGTGATAATTGAAATTAGACACAGTAAAGATAATTGTGCCCAAATATCTTTCCAAAGCACTGAATATTCCCACTTCCAGGAAGATATCTTATTTCCTCTTGCATCTGTGACACTATTCCAGGAATAGGGGTTTGAGCTGAAAGAAAGAGAGAGAATGCAGTGGTGGGGCAGTTTAATGAATGGTGAGGACAAGGGCAGTAGGAATGTTGGTTTCAAAGAGACTTTCTGGATGATCTGGTTGTTGACCAAAGCTGGAGCATCTCACAAGTGTTCTTACAGGATGTGACAATAGACAAGGAGGCAACATTGGCTGTAGTCCATGACAAAATAAAGTAAGAGTGGATTTTGGCTTGTGAGGAAAAACTTAGTGTGGGAAGCAAAAAGAAAAAGCTAAGGATATCCTGAGAAGTATAGTATGAAACTGTCTCATTACACGCAGTCAGATAGAGAAAGATGGAAAAGTAAAGCATTAATACCTAGATGAGAGAAAGGTGTGAGGAGAAGGGATTCATATTATCAGAAAAGGGGAGACTTGCTAAAAAACGTGCACCTGTACAGGTTGTAAGATTCATTCCAGTTACAGGAAAAACAAGCTTCATAAAGTTTAAAAACTTTCCTATGACCACTGCAATTCTAGATGAAGAGTTTGGGAAATTTTATGGATAGAAGGACATAGATCAAAAACCCAAAAAACTAATGTTAAAGCATGTAGATGAAGGCTGCAGTCACACGCACAGGGAATATGAATGAGCATAGATAGTTTTAGTGCTTAATAATAAACAATAATATCTGCATAATGGGCATGTTAGAAATGTGAAGGAAAGAAGATTTTTCACTTTCACTCATAGTTACTTGAAAATTAATACATTTGGAATACAACATACTCTTAGGAAATCTGGGTGGGTTATCATTGACATCCGTGAGAGTTATGTTTACAGTTGTGGTTCCAGCTAGTCCTCCCAGTTGTCCTCCCATGTCCTTGGCTTGGATAAGAACTTGATATTGTTCTTTCACTTCTCTGTCCATATTTGGCAAAGCTGTTCTTATCACACCTATGAGAAGAAATGGGAAAGAAAAAGAATGGTAAAGGGCTGTAATTGTCTACTACTACATTTTAATGCTGGGTCTCTTAGATCAGAATGTCTCTTTTTCTAAAGGATTGATACAAGAGCAGTTCACATACTAATAGGCAAATCACTTGAGCATTTAAAAGGTGTGTGCACCACCTGTTCAGCTACTGAAATGACCACTGTGACACTTCAAGTAGGACATAAATGGTCAACAGAGAATACTGCACATCCACTAGGGATGTAAACAGATGACAATGTATTTCAGAGCCTGCATCTTCCATTGCTTCAAACTATTAATTGGTCAACACGTTGAAGCTACAATAGGCCAAGACAAGATGTATTCTGTAGAAAAGAAATGGTCTTTATTAGAAGACTCTCCTTTTATCAAGAAAGTTTTCTGGATACAACACAAAGATGCAGTGAAAACATCAGGATTTTCCTTGAAGAAATGTAAACAAAACTTACTCAAATGACTCTTAATACACATTTCACAGTCCCCTTTCTGATACATTAAGAAAGTATAAAATAAAGAAGTAAAAAATGAAAGGAAAAAAATAAAAGGAAAGAGAGAAGGAGGCAATAGTGATCATAGGATTAGTTTATGAGATTGTAAAAAACTACAAGGTTTTTGGCACTCAAATCTATCTCTTAAAAGCAAATGTATACGAGAAGATGAATTTTCTGTCAAAATTTTAGAAGTGTGTATTACATTGCATATTGATATAGATTAAACAATAGATTTTCAGAAAGCAGCTAGATGGAGATAGCTGCAGGTTGCATATGCAATTAAAAGTATATCAAAGGATGCACTCTTCTTCTCTAAATTATTACTTTTTCATAAAATGCTATTTTCTAGTAACCTGTATGGCTTTAAAAGTAGTCTTTTACCCTTGGTGTTTTAATGGATCTGAACTGATAAGAAAAAATCTTGAAAGCTCATTCTTATTTTTTTCTGTCAACTAACTGCTGCTATATTAACAAGTAAAAATAGGAATTGCTAGCTTACAGTACTTTTTTCTCAAACTAAAAATAACTTTGACCCAAATATTTTTATGGAAGTTATTACAAATTCCTATTAAATTAAATTGTATAGCAATTTCCATTCTCTCCACTCTCCACTGCTAATAACAATGGTTAACAATAACCACTACTTTCCACCTCAGCATGGCATTTACTGTACTGTGTAGATCTAGAATATGACTAGCAAATACTTAAGAACAATTACAACTCTACACTTCTGAGTATTAGAAAACAATTGATGGTGTTCAGTGTTTTTTTTTTTTTTATTTCAAGACAGAAATCAGAATTGTAAAACATCGTAAAAAAATTTTCATGTATACTTGTGATTTTTGAGCATCAAAATTGAGTGGCATTGTGACAGGCATCAGGTAAATAGCAGAACCATTAATAATTAAAGTGAAAGGCAATACTCATGAAAAAAAAAATGTAGATAAGATGAACATTAATATGTCTTCTCTTAAATTTCTGAATTCCTATTTTGTGGAGAGTGTATATTCCATAATATTTTACAAAGTCTTAAGTATGTTCACTCTGAGGAGTAGAGAATGTGAGAATTAAGGACTTCTCTTGTTATACCAGTGAAACACAATAAAAAGCACTGAAAATAGGCAGTGTCATGAACAGAAGATGAATGTCATCTGATTATTATACTTGCTTTAGGTACTGCTGATGGTTTTCTGAGTTAAAAACATTCCTGACAGTCTTCAGAAAATGAAGAAGTTACTACCATTCTAGTAGTAAAATTTCCAGTTACTCACTATTTATTCCTGTCTGAAAGTATAAAGGTATTCTGTTTTGTTTTTGTTGTTGTTTGTTTGTTTGTTTTCTGTAAGAGGTCTTTGTCCTCCGGGGAAGGAAGGAATAATTTTCATGTCTAACAGTTCACAGTCAATTTTCCCTTCTCTACCTTTCTACCTACTCTCTTTCAAAAGCTTTGGGGAAAAAAGAAGAAAAACACTATTTCTAACAGAATCCATTTATATGGATGGGATACAGATGAGTTGAAGTTATGCAGACAAGGCAAAAGAGAGAGAACTATGTTAGAGATAAAATCCATTGGAAAGAAGACTACAGACTTTGGCATTCCACCTTCAGTTTCATAAAGAATATGTAAACTTTGAACTAAAGGCTTATTTTAATATAGAAGTCCTTCATGTACTTGACTTGCTTAAAAATGTGTTTTTAAATCCTTCTAAGATTTTACAATAAAGATCATTCAGATTCTGAACAAAATAACTTCTAATTTTTATCTTTTAAAAATTTAAATATTAAATTTGCAGAAAATAAATCTGCTGAAAACTGACAATAATAACCACAGGTCCTGAATAAGAAGATATGCCCTGCAGTGTTACTCAGACATAATTCAATAAGATAACTCACTTATGTGGACGATAAGGAATATTTTTTTGTGAATAAATTCTTTTATAAATATTAATGACAATATTCCTCTCAAAACCAATCTCAATTCCAGTAATGTAACTGAGGTAAGAATATGGACCAGAATGACTGATCTTAAGAAAGAACTGCAGATATATGTAAGAATATTGACCATATAACCACATTATAAAATTCGATAGAAAGAAGTTCATGAAAAGGATGTTTGAGTAACGAAACAGTACAGACAAAGGACTGTCATCTGTCTGAAGAGAAGTGCTCCATGTTAAAGAAATCTGTTACAATTTTCATCAGGTGAACAATCTTACAGCATTGGAAATAAACTCCCACATACAAAGTTTGAGGCCTCAGAATACTCTGCTCCGACAGCTGCTCTCCAGCAGACATAGTAATGTATTTAACCTTCCTGCAAGAGCAACATAAGCTTGCTCTCCTGCTCCTACACAGTCATGCCTCCCTGCAGCAGAGCCCTAAAGACAGCTGAAAAAGCCAGCATCATCAAAACATGAGCAAAAAGGCACCTTTCACATTCAAATCCATAATCACTAGAGACTTTCTAAATTCATATCAGAATAAATTATCTATCAATAATAACTAGACAAAGGATTATATGTGAAGCTATATGCATGGCAAGTATAACCATAATTTCACATATAAAAATTTAATCAGTGATTTGACCACTAATACTTTACCATAGAATTTTAAGGCAGCAATACAAATTTCTGCAAAATTACCAGCTAAAAAAAAAAAAAAGAAAAAGAAACAAAATGATGGTCAAACCATCTTTTGGATGATACGAACAGTGTGTGTGCATTCTCACCCTTTGATGCTGAAAAGAATGCTTCAGAAATGGGAGAAGCCCAGAGGAGAAGAAGCAGTGTAATGGAATGGTTTATGTTTGAGAAATTCTTCATTCTGAAAAAGAGACAACTAGGAGAGAATATGATATGAGTATTCCTCAGAGTTTAATGGGGAACTTCAAAATTATTGATAGGAGTTAATTGTTCACAGCCTCTCACAATGGAAGAAGTGCAAGGTATGAAAGAAGTTAAGAGGTGTTGGATTTCAAAGAATGAGAACTATTTTTCATCCAAGAAAACTTTTGTTGTGGATTTTGCAGTCAATGAGTGTGCAGATATGATGCACCTGGACATGTCAATTCTACTGGGAAGCGGACCAGTAATGGAGGAGAAATCCTTTAAGAGTTTTTGGTTACAGGGACATTACTTGCCACCGAAGAAGTGCGGAAGAAGAAATTGTCGGAGACTACGAGAATAGTGTGGGAATGCATGACTAAACTCTTGCCTTATTTTATCTAGAGTTGAACAGACAATCACTTTTGTAAACATGAAGCAGGGTAACATGAGCCTTTGCTCTGATCCTATTTTCTGATTTCTAGTGTTCTTTAAATAATTACAACACAGTGCCTGAAAATTGTCACTAGAGAGCAAGAGATGGCAAAAAAACAAAACAAAACAAAGCAAAACAAAAAGAACAACAACAACAAAAAATTGTTTATCCATTTTCCAGTAGTTCTGAGTTTGGTCTGTCATTTTGTATCAAAATGACTTTCTTTCCTTTTTCTATCACAAACACTCAAGGCAAATGTTCTGCAGCAAGACTTTGCAATAAAAACTATTGCACTGTCTCTTCAGTTATAAAATAAAACACTGGAAATACCTGAGGATCTATAATGGTGCTTGAGACTTCTGGATTTTCGATCAAGAAATTAAGACATCATTATTCACTTACTGTTTACACTACAGACATTGTTAAATCCAGAGATAATTCTCATATTGTAATATTTTAATATAAGACAAGTATTAATAGATAGGTATGGAAACACTAAATTTCTATGATATTACAGCCATTTAAAGTGCTGGTGTGCAGGGTGAAGTTCTTACTTAATAATCATTGCTTTTTTTTTCCTGGGAAACTTGCACTAGAAGTCAAGTTGTGGCTTCAGTAACTGTCTTTACCACCATTTACTACCTCTTCATTCTTTACAAGACAGAAATAATAATAATAATAAAAAAAAAAGTATGAAGGTAAATACTTTCAGCTCTCCCAAGACACTTAAGAAGTCACATTTCAGTTTTAAAAGTAAAGTTGCTGACTGCAAATTGGAACACAATCTTCTGCTAAATGGAGCATGTGACAAAAGATTGTGCCTGCTGGAGATAGTGCACTAATGGCCTTAGGTGGCTCTTACCTCCAAGCTATTGATTGATCAGGGGGAGAGGCTCTTTAACACACAATCTGACATTCAAGGACAGTTTTACTGGAAGGAGAAACTGTATTTGCTGAAAGAGGCATATGGACAACTATCCCTGTAACACATTGAGGATGACACAATGCTTGGCAATCACCATGTAGGTTATTGGTTCCTTAACTGAACTGCTAAATATAGAAACAAGAGTGACATTTAAAAATATAGGACGAGATACCTTATTAACAGGTCTACCAACCTCCCAAATACATCAGTCTCTTTAAATGCATCATCCTTTTCTGCTCACACATTCTGTAACATAAGACATGCTATGCCCCAGGAAAAGAGGAGGACAGGAGATGATTAGCTGTTGCACTGTCTCAAATTAGCTCAATACAGTAAAACAATCATTTCTAGGGAAATCTGGACTGTAACTTTAGTGCATTAAAACTGCCAAGAAAAAATGAATAAAGACCTGGGACAAAAAACTGAATAATGAAAAAAAAAAAAATTATAATGCATGCAGCAGATGAATCTTTATCTGTAAATGAATGGCAAAACATCAGGAAAAACTACTTAATGTATACATATTTTAGATATTCCAGGATTATTTGGAAGAGGGTGCTTCTTTTGCTTCTGGAACCGACTGCAATTTATTAAAGCAGCAGTCCACAATCAAAACAAAAGTAAGTGCAACGTTACTCCACTAGCTTTTCACCTTATCAAAATAGCCCATATTTTTTCACTGACATTGCCAACACAAATTGAAATCCAGAGGTTAAATCTTCTAGTATTGCTGATAAACTGTTTACCTGTCTTTGGATCAATGGAGAAATAGGGTTGCCCCTGAAGAATGCTGTAGACCACTCTGGCACTATTTCCATAGGTAGGATCATCAGCATCTGTTGCCTTTACTTGGAGCACGTATGCACCTGCAAAGAAACATAGGTAATAAAAATTTCAGTATAGAGCAGTGATGGTGGACATTTCAGACACATCAGTAAAGCTGCTAGCAGATTCTGTTGTAACTCTTGTTCCACTGGATACAAGGTAAGACTAAAGTAGTAAGTTGTTCAGCCCCATGCTAGCATCCATCCAGATAACAACTGAGGAAAAATGGGAAGGAAAGGAGAAGTCCTGTATCAGAAGATATTTATAAACAATTTATGATGCATACATTATTCACAATTATTATTTTTTAAATCTAACATATATAAGAAGGAGATCTGGAAAGCAGAAGACTGGATTTCTAATACTAGTTTTGTGAAATGATGGACTTATCCTTAAGGTGTGTGCACAGACAACTGCACAAGTAAAATATGTGCTTTGACTTTGACACAAATGTTTGTTCAAGCAAATCCTGAACCTGTAAATGAACCAATCTCTAAGTGCTTTTAAAAAACTATAATGCAGTTTCCTTTAAGGTTAGCTCTGCAGTGTTGAATTCACACTCACATTACAAACTGAAAGTGGGTGTTAGTTCAGTCAGTTGTCTATGAAATCTGGACTTCAATATTCTCTTTCCAATACAGTTCAATTGGAAACACGAGCATCCTGGAAGTAGAACCTCCCTTTGCTGCACAGTTTTCAGTCATGATTAGAGACCATACTCAGTGGAATAATCTGTGTTATGCTCTGATTTAGAAGCTACCAGAGCCATGCATATGAAGACAGAAAGAGAGAAAACAAAAAATCATTTTTAGAGGCAATTGTTCTACATACAATTCTTATCCTTCCCCCTGGTTGCTAAATAATTTACCCATCTCTATTGTCCCAAAATTAAAATAGTGCTCAAACTACATTTTCCAACAAAACATATGGCCACATATCAAGACTTTCCATTCAAATCTGAAGAATTAATATTTCCTATGATCTTATGTGAAAATGAACATTAGAATTCGCAGAAGACAGAAGCCACTTATTACATGAGCACTTGAAGGCCACCTGTGGACTCTTCCCACTGTGGAAGAAAAGGCAAGGTCTGTTCCTTTTGGAACGATTACATTGACAAAATGTCACACAGATTCCCCTCACTGCACAGTACAGAACCTATCTCTGGTATCCATGAGATTGTCTCCATTCATCTCTGCAGTATCTTACCATCTTTCCAACACAAAAAACTCAGTCTATTTTTTCCTTTGGAAAGAAATACTACTTTTTAACCTATTAGCATCCTCCTCCTATCTCTAAGTTGCTCATCCATTCCATATATTTTGACTCTTGAATGAATTTTGTTCCCCTCACAGGTGGAAAAATTAGGTTCCCAGGTTCTGAAGTCTGAAATTGAGCTGGTTGACCAGCAGTGGCCTATCTGGCAAGTGCTTTGGGACTGATTTGAAACATCCTGCACTTTTACAAAGACACATATTCCCAAGTCTCCTCTTAGGCCAGGACATGTGTTTCTGATGCCCTGCTGGTCACTGAAAAGGGAGCTAATTTTAGTTATCTTCTATATGTAAATTGACAAAATTTTACTGGCATATCACTAAGACTTTTGCTTTGAACCTTAAAGCAGGCAATATTCTGCATAAGAGAACAGGACAGACAGAAGGCTCACAAATACAAAAGCTGAAAGTAAATTCATATAAAAGCCACAGTGGCTGGGAGTTAGTTTGAGACCTCATTCTCTACCCCAACATTTGCATCACAAGCTGTAGGAATGCTTCAAACAACAGCCTTTTTGTGGAGTAGTGACTGGCTTCTCTTTCCAAAACCATCATGACCAGACTCCTTGTTCTCACTATACCAGCATCATTTTCCTCCAACACAAAAATTATTTTCCTAAAACAAATATATATTGATAGAGAATAAACCAGAAGGTGTACTTTCATGATGGAGTTCATGATACCTATTAATATTTGATTTCTACAATGTGGGCAGTGACTTTCATGCCAGGAGTATTTGCAGACACAGGCTGAGCACATAGAGCCTGGCAGCACAGACCAGTATTGCAATGTGGGCATGTGAAATACCACAGCTGAATCTATATCTATTTCTATGCAAAAAAGTTGAGACTGTAAGGTGAAGGAAATGAATAGCAGCCATCAACCTGCTAGAAAATGCTGCAGCTGACCTAGGTGTCTGATGGTCCCTCACAGACCAGTTCTTAGCTGTCTACTAATATTAGTTTACATATTTTTATACATATATACTACAAATAATTCTGCCATTATACAGAAGAAAGAATAAATGGTAAATTATAAACTAAGCTTTATTAAAGCAAACTTTCTAAATCATCCTTTAGCTAGATAAATTGAAAATATTGAATATGAAAAATAGTATTTCCCAGTGATAGCACTTTCAACTGTATTAATCCATATCTAACATGTTCTACAACAGGTGGCATGTAAAGCTTGCATTTTTATGAGAGGTCAAGTTTTTTTTTTTGGTTTTTTTTTTTTTAATGGGCCATCAGTTATATATTAACTAAAATATATAGCTAATTTTCAGAACACGTTTTCTGAAATTGTTTTCTCATCCTTTCAGTATTATCAAGCACTGCCAATAAGTTTTCTAGTTTACTGTAAAGCATAAAACTAATACAGTTTTAAAAGTGGATCTAAAATGGTGGGTTTTGTTGCTGTTGTTGGTTCAGATATTTTTGTTTTGTTTTGTTTTCCAGACATAGCACAGGACAGTGGAGCTGTAAATCTTTAACGCATGAACATAGGATCAGAATCATAGAATTACTCAGGTTGAAATAGAACTTAAAGATCGAGTCCAACCATGACCTAACCATACTACCCTAACTAACAACCCTCCACTAAATCATGTCCCTGAGCACCACATCCAAATGGCTTTTAAACACATTCAGGGATGGTGACTCAACCACCTTCCTGGGGAGCCTATTCCAGTGCTTAACAACCTTTTATGTAAAGAACTTTTTCCTGATATCCAATCTAAACTTACCCTGGCACAACTTGAGGCCATTTCCCCTCATTCTGTCCTCTGTCACCAGTGAGAAGAGACCAACCCTGCTCTTACTGCAAGCACCTTTCAGGTATTTGAAGAGAGCAATAAGGTCTTCCCTAACCCTCCTTTTCCCCAGACTGAACAGCCTCAGTTCCTTCAGCCTCTCCTCATAGGACATATTCTCCAAGCTCCTCACAAGCCTTGTTGCCCTTCTTTGGACCTGCTCCAGCACCTCAATGTCCCTTCTGTATTGAGATGCCCAAAACTGAACACAGTACTCGAGGTCAGGCCTCACCAATAACGAGTACAGGGGCATGATGACTTCCCTAGTCATACTCACCACTTCATTCCTGATACAATCCAGGATGCCATTGGCCTTCTTGGCCACCTGGGCACACTGCTGGCTCACATTCAGCCGACTGTCCATCAGTACACCAAGGTCCCTTTCTGTCAGGCAACTTTCCAGCCACACCTCCCCAAGCCTGTAAGGTCGTCTGGGGTTGTTGTGACCAAAATGCAGAACCTGATACTTGGCCCTACTGAAACTCATGCAGTTTGCCTTGGTCCACTGATCAGTTTATCCAGGTCCCTCTGTAGTGCCCTTCTCCCCTCAGGCAGATCAACACTTCCATCCAACTTGGTATTGTCTGCAAACTTACTGAGGGTGCACTCAATCCCCTCATCAAGATCGTTAATAAAGATGTTAAATTGAAGCAGCCACAGTAGTGAGCCTTGGGGAACACCACTGGCTGCCAACTGGATTTAATTTCATTGACCACAACTCTTTGGGCCTGGCCATCCAGCCAGTGTTTCACCCAGTGAAGCATATGCCCATCCAACCCATGGGCAGCCAGCTTCTCCACAAGAATGTTGTGGCGGACAGCGTCAAAGACCTTACTGAAGTCCAGGTAGACCACATCGACAGCCTTACCTTCATCCACTAAGTGAGTTACATTATCATAGAATGAAATCAGGTTTGTCAAACAGGATCTACCTGTTTGTAAACCCATGCTGACTGGGTCTGATCCCGTGATTGACTTTTAATTGGTCCACGATGGGTCCCAAGATTATCCATTCCATAATCTTCCTTGGTACCAAGGTGAGATTGATAGGTCTGCAGCTGCCAGGATCATCTTTCCAGCCCTTTTTGAAGATGGGTGTCACGTTTGCCAGTCTCCAGTCCAACACGGGACATCCCCAGTTAGCCAGGACTGCTGAAGAATGATGGAGAGTGGCTTGGCAACCACATCTGCCAACTCCCTCAGCACACTAAAGTGCAATCCATCTGGCCCCATGGATTTGTGAGCATCCAGCTTTCGGAGCAAGTCCAAAATCATCTCATCATGGATCATGCAGGGCCTATTCTGTTCCCCATCCCTATCTACCAGCACAGGGGGCTGTATTCCCAGGGAGTAATAAGTTTTACAGTTAAAGACTGAGGCGAAGAAGGCATTAAATACCTCAGCCTTATTTTGACCCCTGGTCACCAAGTTGCCCTTGACATCCAAAAAGGGATGGAGATTCTCCCTAGCCATCCTCTTGCTGTTGATATATTTATAAAAACATTTATTGTTTTCCTATACCTTAGTGGCCAAGTTCAGTTCTAGCCAGTCATTGGCCAGTCACAGGGGATCACATTTATTATAGCTCATGACATTTTAATTCCAATATGCAACTATATGCATTACATGGGGTAACCAAATAAGCATAAAATTACAATATTTATTGCTTAGAAATAACATAGAGGGAAGTTAACATTTAAAAAGAATTGTATTTTAATAGTTGATATGCAATCAACAAATATTTGATGTAGGGGATGGTTCCAACCAGTTCAGGTTGGTTCTGATCAGTTCTCATTGGTTACTTCTGATGCAAACCAATTCAAACTGGTTCTGACCTCAGTGGCCTGAAGCAGCCATGCCTACAGAAGAAACGCTATCATTCCCTGCTTTAATTTTTGAGCAATAGCAGCTTTTTGCAAATCCATTTGCTGTGCTTCCAGCTAAGAGCTGTTGCATGT